ATGAATGAATAAATAAATAAATAAATAAATAAATAAATAAATAAATAAATAAATAAATAAATAAATAAATAAATAAATAAATGCCACCCAGAGTAGACCTTTGGTCTAGAGATTACTTATTTTTAATGAATGAATGAATGAATGAATGAATGAATGAATGAATGAATGAATGAATGAATGAATGCCACACGAAGAATCTTAGAAGAAGGCAGGAATAAAAATGCTACTTAATTGAATCTAATACGATCTTGTTTGGGAAAAGATTGTCAGTGGTCGATCTCAGTGCATGCTTCACCACATAGGAGGCATCGCTGGTGATGCCCTCAGCACAGCCTCCTGAAATGCAGCCATCTCCAGACAAGAATGTTGCAGCCTTTAAATAGGACCAAGAAACTCTACAGCATGGAAACATTGGCTGTAACCTGAGAACACTAATGAGTGGGCCAAGACAGAATTGCCCTTCTGCACGGCCATTTTCAAGTAGCAGACAATATTTTAAACTGTTGTGACTTTTTAATAAGCAGCCAGCTTCAGTCTTGTTTTGAGGTGGCCATTTCATTAAATACACCAAGGACAGGTGGCAGGTTTTTTTAAAACCCCTGCTTCTCCTATGTTTTAAACAACATTTCAATCTGCAGACACTCATAATTTTTAGCTTCAGGCTGGAAAGAGTCTCACCTGCAGATTTCTGCAGCTCAAGCTGCCCGTAAAGTATTGCATAAAAATAAGCACTACAATGTTTGTTGCACACACAAGGAAGAGATTTATTGAAATTAAATAAAATACTTCACTTTGCAGGTTCTACAACAAACTTACTATTCTGGTCTGTCATTCCCCAACCAAGTATGACATTTGCTTTCCCGGGGGGTCGGGGGGTGGGCTTGGCCCAAAGTGAGGTCTCTAAATAAGGAAGGGATGTTCAGTCGAATACATCAACTTACAGTAGGTTTTACAGTTTGTAGCAAACTGACTGTGTATGGCCTGTATAATGCATCAGGTAACGATCTGTCTGAGCCATAAGTTAAATAAATAAATAAGTAAGTAAGTAAGTAAGTAAGTAAGTAAGTAAGTAAGTAAGTAACTCAGACAAAACAATTACAGCTGCTCCCTTGAGGGCACTGAAATCTAAAGCCCAGAAGCCATTCAAATTGTGATATATTTCCCCATGTGATCACACCCTTCTTCATTCTTTTTTGGATAAGGGCATCGCATGATCTCTCTTATTTTTTCCTTGAAGGGATTTGCACCCTCACCTCAAAGGAGCGTGGATGGGAGATGGTGCCATTTGTCCCAGTGGCCAAAATGGTCAGCTACGGTTCTGTGAGCTGCAGAAGCTGATGGTGACAACATGCCTGTCCTTGTTATAAGAGTTCTGGGATGCACGGGATATGCCACAGTTTCACTAAGCTGCCACCAACCATTCCCTATAAGAAGTCACACAGACCAGGGATGGATTTTTAACAAATAAAAGAACAAGGTTTATTTACATAACACACAGGGAAAATAAAATGATCAAATGAATAAGATACAGTAACGTGGCTTAGTCTCAATCATACATACACTAGTTTGGTTCACACAGAACGCATTTAACTAAAGCACAGACCCTGAACCTATCAGTTCTGGCTAACCCTACAGACACCTGAACCTATCAGGTTGGTACTGACTGACACACAGTAGTACCCTGTCTGACACACAGACTCCCACTCAAGCTTCTTCTCTCAGCTCTTCTCCAGCTTCTCACTCAGCTTCCCTTCACTTCTCCACACAAACTCCACATATATACAGTACAGCCCCTCCTCCTGATGTCCCGCCTTCCACTCCCCATAGGATGGAACTTTCCCTCCAAACCCATGACAGACAGGTAACATCAGTGCTGTATGTAACACATGCCTGTCCTTGTTATAAGAGTTCTGGGATGCACGGACACTCTACAGGCTTACCTTGAGGAAATCAAGCACTGGCTCTTGGGCTTTATCCTCCAGATCAGCAATCAGCTTGTTGAGGAGCGAAATCTCCTTGGAGAGCTCCGTGATGTTCTCATTCTGCCTCTTGATGATGCCCTTCTCCATCTTGTCCAACTGGCCCAGAAGGAGCTGCTCTTGCTCGTGCAGAAACTGACGCAGGCCCTCAAATTCAGAGAGGACCTTCTGTCTTTCTACCTCGATGGTTTTCTTTTAAAACAAAAAACGAATGAGGGAAATTAAGAAAGGATACCCCGTGTGGTATATAGTGGACAGAGTGCTGGATGAGGTCTTAGAAGAGCTGGGTTCAAATCCCAACTCAGCCACAGAAAATCACTGGGGGTGGGAGCAGATGGGACACATCCTATTTGCTCCTCTTCCAGAAGTGGTTCCATTGCTCATTGATTTGGGTTAGTTTAATGCCTTGGTTCTTAACCTTGGGTTACTCAGGAGTTTTGGACTGCAACTCCCAGAAGCCTTCACCACCAACTGTGCTGGCTGGGGTTTCTGGGAGTTGCAGTTCAAAAACATCCGAGTAACAAAGGTTAAGAACCACTGGTTTAATGGATTTACAGGAAGTTACTGGAGACTGGAATTGATCCCTTCCACCTGCCTTCTACTTAAGGACTATTGTCCTTCACTAATTAGGAATCTTTCTTTCTTTCTTGAAGGCTGATTCATTTCAGATTTGTTAAACCTCTCTGTTTCTTTATCCCAAACAAGCCTGGTTCCAATGGCGTGTTGTACGGTTTGAACTCCGCTGGCAGCAGCTGCGATGCCATCTGTGGCTGTGCCTTACCTCTGTCTTCCCCCTTGTGGGAGGGGAAGAGGCAAGGGAAAGGGAAGGGGTGGAGAATCAGGAGGGCATGAGAGGAAAGGAAGAGGAAGGAGCCGCAGCAATGATGGCAGGACGGTGTGCCAAGGCCAGTTCAGAAGCACAAAGTGAAGTGCAGAGGCTGATGACATCATTTCTCCAACACCTCGACACTCCAGCCACAGAAAAAAATAAAATAATTAGGGACAGCCGAACGACAGTACCGGTGGCAGCTCCCCTCAGCAACTTTCCCTCAGGAAAGTTTCAGTACAATCGTGCAAATGCGCCATAAAAGAACGAAATGTTTCGCAACAGTACTGGAACAACAACAACAACAAAAAGCAGAAGCCTCCAAGAGGGCAAGAAATGATGCGGAGTTAGCGTTGTGGAGGGGTAAAAGATTTGGTAATGGTTGTACATCGTGTAACTGCAAATTTAAGATGCAAAATCAATGGGGCACAACTAGAAAACATTTCGCTCGTGTGACTGCGGCCGCAATCTGAGCCACATATCTTCTGGAGATGAGCCCTTCAAGGCTTTAAAAATGTTTTCACAGGAGCTGTCATCAGTTTATCTAATACTGTATTGGGTATTCCTGGTGGTTGAACTAAACAAAAATCCCAACTCTCTGATGGGGGCTTGGCATGCTGCCGTTTCCCCTTGTTTTTCTTAGACAATCCCAACTCTCTGATGGGGGCTTGCCATGCCGCCGTTTCCCCTTGTTTTTCCTAGACAAACAGAAACTCTTTAGGTTTCAAAAGAAGGTGAATGGGGGGCCGAGGGGGGTGCAGAGTGCTTAGTGGCCCTTTGTTTAAGGAGTAAGAAGATGAATTCCAAACTGCTGCCTGAGGATGAAACCACACCCTCCTTTCCACAAAGCTTTTGCATCTGTATCTATCTTAAGAAGCCAACCTGCCCCAACCATGGACATGAGACTTTGGGACTCTGATATATAATTTGTTCTGAACTACCCACAAGATCTTGGTGCACAGCCTGAGGAAGACGAATGATCATCAAAAGCTATTTGTCTGTTGTTTGTTTAATTTTTTTAGTAGTCTAATGAAGGTATCACCTGCTCTCACATTTCTATTGTTGTGGCAACCAAATGGCCCTTTTCTGATTTTTACATCAAGTTAGTAATAAAGCAGTCTGGACAGCAAATGGCAGCAAAGGATAGGAAGTAGAGTATGTGTTTTATTTCCAGAAAATAGACACCTTGTTGAGATTTCCTTAACCTTTTAACCTAGGTGTCTAGTCGGGTCATATAATGCGTTCCTCTGTGAATCTATTTAATCCTTAAAAGATAGGTAGGAAAGATGTGGTTTCCAAGAGTCAAAGTGCAGCCCACTATTTTCGTTTGTTTTCCAAACTTTATTATTCTCCCCCCCCCAAAAGAAAAGGCTGAAAAAGTTCTCTCATGCTTTCTAGGGGACATCGAGATAATTTTGCCATATTTTAAGGCATCCTCAGTTATCCTTCACAGACTCCAACAATCTCCCCCCATGCTTTGATTTGCTCTGGGTGGTTTTTTTTTTAATCAGCTACTCGTGGACAGAAGGGATTTTCTAATTAAAAGAACAATTCTATGGTTGCAAGAAAAAACTGGGGAGGGGGTTGAAATAATTGGACATGAGTATAGCTCTCCCAAGTACAGAGATGGGCACGTCTAGTCTCCCAGGACTCTGATAGATGCCTACCCATGCTTTGAAAACTAACAACATACCGTACATCTGTCTCAGTTTACCTGAACTATCAGCTATAAACAGATTTAGTAATCATTGAGTTGGAAGGGGCCTATAAATCCAACCCCATACTCAATGCAGAAATCAAAGCAGATCTCACAGAGGGTTGTCCAATTTTCTCTTGAATGCCTCCAGCATTGGAGGGCTCGCTACCTCCTGAGGTAACTGGTTCCATTGTTGTACTGCTCTAACAATTCAGATGTTTTTCCTGATATTAAGCCTAAATCTGGCTTTCTGTAGCTTGAGCCCATTATTACATGTCCTGCGCTCTGGGACAACTGAGAAAAGATCTTGCCCCTCCTGTGTATGGCTACCTTTCAAGTAATGGCTGTCAACCTGCTTTAAAAGTGGAATAGATATATCCTTTGAGATTAAGGCCATCAATAACTATATACAGTATCACCTGTAGCATCAGAGGCAAATGCCTCTGTACATCCACTGCTGGAGAGCTGCAATACCCCTCAGGTCCTAGTGGTAGGCAAAGGGTTAGACACAATGTGAAGAGAATGTTGGATTCGATTTGCATTTGGTCTGACCCACCATGGTTTCTCTTATGTTTGCTTACATTCTGGTAAGAGAGAAAGCTTGGCCAAATGCCAGGTTGTGGGAAGCAAAGAGGTGCTAGCTAGCAATGCCAGGCAGGCATTCCTGGGGCAGACATTAAACATAGTCTGACAGTTTCTGATGAGTGCTTCAATATTTTACCTCTTTTGTTATCTAGTTCAAAAAAGAGAGAGAACTGTCATCCCAGGATGTACAAAATATAAGGTTCTTTATTTCAGTGTAAAATACTCGACACAGTTTGGCCTGTCAGCCTTCTTCAAGGGCGTGTTTATTAAACTCTAATTAACTGTTCCCCTGTTACTTTGGTCTGTAACCAGCTCCATGAAATCAACTCAATTTCAACTTAAAATTATATTTTCTACATCCTGGGACTGCAGTTCTACCGGGTTTTTGATCTAGATTTCCTTCTGTTATATCCTCTTTTGTTATACTGTAATTTTCTGCCCTGTGCTTTGACAGTAGCTTGACATGCAGGCAACGGATGCAGGAAATTATGAGGATCTCTACGTCCAAAGTACCTGACATTCACCTGAACCCTAAGCTACTCTTGCAAGGAAGACAACCAAGGGCAGATTCCCTCTTCCCAGCTGGCAATCTAACTTGACTCCCTTTAAAAGTTGTCAGTCTTATATCCTCATCTGCATTTTATTGTGTTTTAATGATGTAAGCCACCCTGGGTCCTTTTAAAGAAAAAAGGTGGGGTGAGAATATTTTTAAACAAACAAACAAAAAATAAATAGTGTATTTTGATTGACAGTTGGACAGCTCAGTGGTTTAGATATCTGGCTGTGGAGCCAGCAGTTGGGAACTTGATTGACCCCTGTGCCTTCCTGTGAGTAGAGCCAGAATTAGGCAAGTTACACAGTCCCAGGGCACCCCCAGAAGAAGGGAACGGTAACCCACTTCTGCATATTCTCTACCTGGAAAATTCTGGAAAGGGTTGTCAGAACTCAGAAATGACTTGACACCACATTGTTGTTGTTGTTGTTGTTGTTGTTGTTGTTGTTGTTGTTGTTGTTGTTGTTGTTGTTGTTGTTGTGCCTGACAGCAGATACCTACCAAGAGATCCTGGCTTTTCTTGTCATCTTGTGTTTTGAATTCCAGAAGCTCTTGCCTCTCTTTTTTCAAGAAATCCAGACGGTTCTGAATTTGTTCCTAAGATCCAAAACATACAATGGTTTTATTTAAAAAAAATTTTTTTTTTTTAAAGTCACTTCTCAAAGGCAGCTGATGAGGATAATTTCACACATTCCCATCCTCAAGTGAGACCTCAAGTGTCAAATTTTGCATCAAGTCTCCAGGGCTCCCATTCAAAGCCACAGAGCACGGAAAAAGTTCCTTTTTGGTGATTACAAGTAAAGCCAAGAAGACGGAGAGATTCCGGTAGTCCAAATAAAGGAACCTTTTTGAGATCAAAAGAGTAGGGGCAAGCTCTGTGTCCTGAAAGAGGAGCTGCTGGATACCTCAGTGGTTTAGGGTCTCAGTTCGGATTCCCCACTAAGCCTCCTTGTCAGAGGCAAGACTTGTGTCAGGGGCTGGACTTGTTGATCCATAGGGCCATTTCCAGCTCTGTAGTTCTAAGGTTGTGGTTGTTTTGTATTTCTGTTGCGAGCAAATTGGAAAGGTAGCTATATAAAAGCTAATATTCAAAAAATGGGTGTTTGGGTGTGCCAGGGTCCTTTCCAGTTCTGCAGTTCTAAGGTTGTAGTTGTTTTGTGTTTCTATTGCGAGCAAATTGGAAAGGTAACTATATAAAAGCTAATACTGTATTTTAAAAATGGGTGTGTGGGTGTGCATGTGTAAAACATTCTTATCAACAAGGGTTCCATTAGATTTGGATCCTCCTCACCCCACACCACTTCAGCTCCATTAAAACAAAAATAAAAACGTTAGAAGATACAGCCATCTCTCTCACACACATAAACCATTACTTTTTTGTTCATTTGTTTCATTTAAACCTAGCCCTTCAGGAAGGTCAAGATGATGTACATGGCCCCACTTTATCCTCACAACAAGCCTGTGATTGCAGGTCAGGCTGAGTTTGGGTGACTGACCCAAGGCCACACACATTGAGCTTCACAGCTGAGTCGGGATATGATCCTAGTCCAGCGTTCTTGAGTTGCTATGCCACACTGACTCTCTGACAAGTGCATTGTTTTTGTGGCCTCTTGGTATGAGGGAAAGTTTTGCAGCAGGGGTGAAGAAGCCCTAGATATGTGCATGGAACAACTTTCCCCACATCTGGGGGTGCATCAGGCCATCTGCTCTTCAGTCCTGCCATCTTTATCAGCAGGACACTCTATTTTAAGTAACTATTTGCACCAATAAGATGACGAGCAAACTTAGCTCCTGCTCTCCAGAGAATCCGTGTCAGCCTGAGATCTTATTCCTGCCTTGGGAAACCTCCCTCCTAAAAATAGATCAGGAATTCAGCTACTTGTTTAACCTTTTCCTGTCTGACAAGGGCAAACTTGACAGGTGCACTTTATCAAATCCATGCACAACTCAGATTTTGTGCATGGATTTTAGACTAACAAACCAGAGCCTTTAAACCCTACATGTGGCCTTCAACATTTCCTAGCAATTCTCATCTTGTACCACTAACAGAAATGTGATATGTGGAACTTTGTTAGAATATTATTGATAGTATTTATATATTCCATTGGTGGGGGGATACCCACAAGAGACGTATCAAGTGATGGTACTAACCTCCATGCCAGGAACAACTTCACTGGATGATTTCTGGTTAACAGACAGTGAAGTTCGCAAGAGCAGGCTATACTGTTTTTCTGTACATTTGGCAAGCCTGCAATATAGCTATTTCTAAACAACTCGAAAGCTCAAACGGTAAAGAGTCTTGTGACACTTAACAAACTAACAGATGCTAATCTTCCTTAATGAAAAGCCATAGAGTAACAAAAGCTTTTTTTCTTCCTTACCAAAAACCATAGGTTGGAAGAGAGTTATAGGAAAAAAAACAAATCCAACTTTTGGTTTCATGCATACAGTATAGGCAGCCTCCTTGTTCCTGTAGGCTTCAGACACCCCACATCAACATGCCATCTGCCACAAACAGGGCAAGGACAAAGGACTTGTGTTCTTCCAAATGTTATTGAACTACAATTCCCATCATCCCTGTACCTTGTATGGCATCTGTAGAACTTGATGGGAGTTGAAGTTGAACATGGGAAGAGTCACGGATGCCCCAGCACAAGGTGCTTCGTTATCTTTCTCCCCTCATGGCACTTATCTCATGAAAAATCTAAAGGAAAAGGTACAGCTGCGGAGCAAGATCTCTCTTGTGATGGGAGTTTGGTCTTCTCAACCCGAATGACCCAGAAACCACAGTCCCACTGATCTAGTGCATGAAGTGAGGCTGGGCAGAGTAGACTGATATCCTATGGTTTCAGTGTCCATAACAGAGCATGAACTTCAGAACAACGTGTTTCACCACCACCACCCACAGACTTTGCTTTTTTCCTCTAATTTCAAGCAACTTGGATAGAGGACTGACGTTCTGTCTACAAAACAGTCTCAAATTCCACCGGAAAGGAAATTTCCATCAGAAAGAAATTGCACTCAGTATTGAGAAAGGCGTTTCCACTTTAAAAGCTTTCCACATTTTCAGGGGAAAGCCATGTTTTGAGCTTGGACACATTATCTATCCAGAGGAATGAGTCACACTGCTATATATATATATACCTTGTACTCCTGGGCAGCCTCTTCTACAGGCACCACGCTGTGAGGCCGGTGGTCCCGAGAGCGGTCGCACACCACACAGATGGTCCTCTGGTCATCCTTACAGTAAAGCTTAAGCGCCTCCTTGTGCTTCTCGCAGATGCCATCTTCCTCCAGGCCCTTCCCGCCGCGCAAAATGAACTGGCTGATGATCTCGGCCATGTTGGCCAGCTGCCGGTTGGGCCTGAAGTTCTTCTCTTTGAAAACCTCTCGGCATTGCGGGCAAGGGAATTCTCCCTCCAGGCTCTTCCAGCTTTTGGCAATGCAGGCTCTGCAGAAGTTGTGTCCGCACTCGATGGACACGGGGTCTTTGAAGTACTCCAGGCAGACCGAGCAAGTGGCTTCGTCTTGGAGGTTCCCCGGGAGGAAAACGGCAGCCATGGCTCCTTCCTGGCCAGCCGAACGGCTGTCGTCGTTGTCGTCCTCTTCTCCTGTAACAGCAGCGTACAGAGAACGAATGCTTGGCACCAAACGCAAGGTGGGTTTTCCCGTGTCAGAAGCCAGCTGGTGTGGCGAGGTCATCTCTACAGCGTTTCTGGTTTCTTAAATTGGCAACAAGTCAATCCCTGGACTGGATATGAATTCTTCAGGCCTCTTTAGGGTGTGGAGGAAAATGAAAATCGCCTTATCACCAGGCATCCGTCTGAATGGGGAATGGAGAACAAACAGAACCTGACCAAGTCCACGTGACTGGTGATATTTCATCAGCAGAGCTCAGGAGAGAAAGTGATTCATTTCTAACAATAGAGCCGGGAAGGTACAAGCTTGCCAGAAAAATCTTCCCCTTTGACCTGGAGGTTGTTTTTTTACTTATCCCAGATAAATAAGCCTTCATGGTCGAATACTTCCTGGAGTGCTTGTTTAACAAAGCAGCAGTTGCATTGACCATGTTTCCCCGAAAATGAGACAGGGTCTTATATTAATTTTTGCTCCAAGAAACCTGCATAAAACAGCTAGAAGCAGAAACCTGACAGCATGATGTAGAACAAGTGGGGTAGCTTAAGGTTGTCAGGGGGAACATACAAAGCTGGCCAGTGCTTCACTGTCCAGTTCTAAGCACACAGCTTTCCTGCAGCAGAACCTATGCTATTTCATTAGTGTTTTCATCCTGTTCTGATGGTGCTGAAGACATTCCCATCTCTCTCTGGGATATCTGTGCATATGACACAGGACTCAAGCACACAATACACAATACACAATACACAATACACAATACACAATACACAATACATAATACATACTGTGTCATGAAGTTGTTTCAAAATTATGACAGCTCTCACATGATTTTCTAGGCACAGAGCACTATGCCAGTGTTGTATAGTAATCAGATGGACTCAAGAAACCTGGGTTCAGATCTCTGCTTAGCCATGGAAACTCATTGGGGGTGGGCAATAGTAAACCATTCGTTAAAGGTAGTTGTAGAATGGGTAGCTGTGTTAAGTCTGTGCAAGCATAAAAGGTGAAAAAAATAAATAAAAAGTTTAAAAAAGACAAAAACATGGTGGCACTTTAAAGACTAACTTTTATACTGTATTTTTTAATGTGAGTTTTTGTGGATACGTCCCCTTCATCAGACATAAGAGAAGGAGATCTAAAATGGCAAACATTTATACATGGCATTCCTTATATTACATATGTTGAAAACCCTATGAGGGTTGCAGTAAATCAGGATGAGACATGACAGCATACCACAACAAATACAAGTGTTTTACTAGTCTCTCCCTCTGTTGGCGCTCAGCGCCCCTTGCCCAAGGCCACTCAAGATGATAGGGCGCCTAAGAAGCACACAAGATGATCTTGGCTGGTCCCTCTTCTTTTTCCACAATCCCTCACCACTGGCCAAGCTGGCTACAGCTTGAAATGGGAAAAGAAGAAACGAGAGGTTAGAAGAACCTGGAGTTCATTTCTTTTCATGAGAGAACCGGAGGCACCAAAGTAAACCCACAGTGAATGATGTAAGGTGATTTATTTACTAGTAAATAGGTACAACCGCTTGCAAGGAAGTATACTTATGATAATTAGAGAGCCTTCTATAGTTTCCCCTCAGAGGTTGTTTATTGTTATGTGCCATGAAGTTGGAACCAACTTTTAGCGACCCTAAAAGGGCTCAAGGTAAATGAGATTTGTATACTGTACTTGCAATGAGCAGGGGGTTAGACTCAATGGTCTTATAAGCTCTTTCCAACTCCATAATAGTATGATTCTGAGATATTTAAGGAATTATCAGTTCTCCTCGCCAACCTAGCAGTTCAAAAGCATGTAAATGTGAGTAGATAAATAGGTACCATCTCGGTGGGAAGGTAAACAGCATTCCCGGTCTAAGTCACGCTGGCCACGTGACCACGGAAGCTGTCTTCGGACAAACGCTGGCCCTACGTCTTGGAAACGGGGATGAGCACCGCCCCTTAGAGTCGAACACGACTGACTAAAATGTCAAGGGGAACCTTTACCTTTACCTTTATCAGTTCCACTCCCACAATGGCTGAGCAGGGATTCGAATTCTGGTCTCTAGAGTCCTAGTCATCACTCTATCCATTACACCACACTGTCCACTCTGATGTAACTCACCAATCAACACCTGACAGATGGAAATCAGTAGTTGACAGCTGCTTTGTAAGGAAAGCCTACACACACACTAAGCCTGTGGACAAGAAACACTTAACTCTATCAGTATTTACTTATTGCAAAGTAAGGATGACTAAGCAGTTTCAGTAAAGCAGGTCAACATGCATTAAGTTACAAAGAAAACAACAAAATATCGCTTTAAAATTACTAACAAGCTGATAGTAAGATACAACAATATTCACAGGTTGGTATGTTTTGAGGGGTTAAAATGAACTCCAACAGAGATCTGATCTAGACTCATTTCCCAGCCAGAAGAAAGGGTGGATTTTCTCATCTTTGAAGACAGCGGAATCGATTTTCCTTTGTGCAAGCTGAATTATTTTTGGTAATCTTAAATCTTGGATAGGGTAGGACAAGAACCAATGGGTGGTAACTCATCGGAGGGAGATCCAGCCTGGAAGTAATTTTATTCATTCATTCATTCATTCATTCATTCATTCATTCTATTTATATCCCGCCTATCTGGTCATTGTGACCACTCTAGGCGGCTTACAGCACAAAATACAAAAATAAATATAAGGAGGAATTTCCTGACAGTGAGAACCATTAAGCAGTGGAACAGCTTGCCTGTCAATGTTGTGGGTGCCCCATTGCTGGAGGTTTTCAAGAAAAGATTGGACAGCCACCTGTCCAGGATGGTATGAGGTCTCCTGCCTTGGACAGGGGTCTGGACTAGAAGACCTCCAAGGACCCTTCCAACCCTACGACGATTCTATGACATGGCAGTACTAGAAACTCAACTGGGCTCTGAGCCATTATGGACTTTGTACATTTTGAGCTTGTTGGTTCACTGGTGGCCAATACCGCCTAAAATATTGTGGGTTCTGGGAGTAATAAGTTATGCCCCAGAACATTTCTCAACCTTTGGTTCTCAACCTTTGCTGGGGGCTCTAGGATTTTAACTTCAAATTCCAGAACCCTAAGTCAGTATGTGCAATGAGCAGGGATTCACAGAGTTTTGGTCCAAACCAGATGGAGAACCAATCTTTGAGATTATGAATGGTTTAAGAAAACTGGCTGCAGTTAAAGTACCTAACTATACTGCAGTATTTTTGTTGTTCAGAGGCCTGGAAATGTTTCAAGGGGTTGTGGCCCAAGTAGAAAGAGATATAGCCAAACAGGAAACTATACTGCCTATGTATACAGTGGTGCCTCGCATAGCGAACGCTTCGCTATGCGATGAAACCGCACAACAATGGGTCCTGGGCCATCGCTGGAGCGTTCGCTCAGCGATGGCCCCTATGGGCTTTTTTCGCTATGCGATGATCGCGCGGACGCGATCAAAGCATAGCGAACAGCTGATCGGCGGTTCCAAAATGGCTGCTGCTAAAACAAAATGGCGACCGCTGTTTTGCCTCGCTAACGAGGCATCCAAAATGGCCGCCGCAATGGAGAAAACTCGCAGAATGGTGAGTTTTAAGTGCATAGGAACGTATTAAATCAGTTTTAATACGTTCCTATGGGCTTTTTTGTTTCACTTAACGATGGATTCGCTGAGTGAGGGTTAACACCACTGTACATTCACACTTTGCGCCTGTCCACACTGGACATTTTGGGTGTGGGGTGGAATCGGGCTCCAAAGGATCTGTTGAGGTCAGCAGGGGAAGAATAATGTGTCATTTGACATGCTCCTTTTATCCAAACACAAAACTAATATATACAACTTGTCCCTTAAAATGGCCACAGTGCCAGATGACTGGAGGACAGCACATGTCACATCAGTCTTTAAAAAGGGAAGGAGGGGGGAGCTGGGAAACTACAGGCCAGTGAGCTTAACGTCTGTTCCAGGGAAGATGGTGGAAAGCCTCATCCAAGATAAAATCTTAGAACACATAGAAGAACAAGCCTTGCTGAGGGAAAATCAGCATGGCTTCTGTAAGGGTACGTCTTGCCTCAGAAACCTTTTAGAATTCTGTGAAAAGGTCAACACGCATGGGGATGTGGGCAAACCAGTGGATATTGTCTATCTGGATTTTCAGAAGGCCTTTCCCTTACCAAAGGCTGCTGAGAAAACTCCACAGTCAGGGGATAAGAGGACAGGTCCTCTTATGGATTGAGAAGTAGTTGAGAACCAGGAAACAGAGAGTAGGTGTCAATGGGCAATTTTCACAGTGGAGAGGGTTGAAGAGTGGTGTGTCCCAGGGATCTGTCCTGGGACTGGATCTTTTCAACCTGTTCATAAATGACCTGGAGACTGGGATAAGCAGCGAGGTGGACAAGTTTGCACATGACACAAAACTTTTCCGGGGGGTGAAGACCAGAAAGGAAGCTCTAGAAGGATTTCTCCAAACTGGGAGAATAGGCAGCAAAATGGCAAATGCATTTCAATATACGAAAATGTAAAGTACAGTAATGCATATTGGGGCAAAAATCTAAACTTTAGTTATCAGCATGATGGATCAGGAAAGAGATCTTGGTGTTTTGATGGACAGCTTGATGAAAGTGTCAACCTAGTATACGGCAGCAGTCAAAAAGGCCAATTCCATGCTAAGCATAATTAAAAAGGAGACTGAAAATAAAACAGTCAACATTATAATGCCATTGTACAAAATGCTGGTAAGGCTGCACCTGGACTATTGAGTACAGTTTTGGTCACCACACCTCAAAAAAGACATAGTGGAGCTGCAAAAGGTGCAGAAGAGAGCAACTAAAATTACTGGGCTGGGGCACCTCCCTTATGAGGAAAGGCTACAGTGTTTGGGGCTCTTTAGTCTAAAGGCACCAGAGGGGGGACATGATTAAGATGTATAAAATTATTCAGGATAAAGTGTTAGAGGAGTGCTAAATAGAGGGGAATTAGCACCTTGCGGGATTTGGGAAGTATACGTCTATTAATGCAGCCTAAAATTGCATTTACCTTTTTTGTAGGCACGTCACACTGTTGGTTCATATTTAGCTTGTGATCTATCCTCCCCTCCCATCCTTCGCAGACACTTCGTGCATGCGTGCAAGTACACACATGCATGCTAGTGCACACATGCAGCCCAACCCCTTCACATGTGAGCACTAGTGCCTCTGAATGCACACACCCCGCTCCTTCATGCATGCATGCGAGTGTGGGAGGGTACCCCACCTTCCCCAACCGGTCCATGGAATTGAAAAGTTTGGAGACCACTGTTCTAGATCGCAGACACTTCGTGCATGCGTGCAAGTACACACATGCATGCTAGTGCACACATGCAGCCCAACCCCTTCACATGTGAGCACTAGTGCCTCTGAATGCACACACCCCGCTCCTTCATGCATGCATGCGAGTGTGGGAGGGTACCCCACCTTCCCCAACCGGTCCATGGAATTGAAAAGTTTGGAGACCACTGTTCTAGAGTATTAGCTATTTCACCCAATTTTGTATCATCTCCCAATCATTCCCTGCACTCCCTCATCCAGGTCATTAATAAAAATAATGAAGAGCACCGGCCCTAGGACTGAGACTTGGGTACCCCACTTGTTACCTCCTCCCAGTTAGAGAAGGGCCCATTAATCATCACCCTTGATCCTGTAGCCAATTGTGTATCTACCTGACACTTGATCTATCCAGGCCCCATTAACTTGCCAATCAGGATATCATGGCAAACATTGTTCAAAAGCTTTGTTGAAGTCAAGATCTACAGCATCCCCTTTGTCTATCAGTGAGGTTATCGGATGAAAAAAAAATGAGATCAAATTAGCTTGGCAGGATTTGTTCTTGGCTTCTAGTTTGGAAGTTCATAGTCTGTCTTATGGGGAAAGACTTAACTAAAATAGGAATTCAGCACCTCTGCCTTTTCCCATCTCCATTGCGGAGCTGTGCCTCTATGTCTTTTGCTACTCACAAAGCTGAAAATGCTTTTTTATTGTTTCTAGTATAGCTAACCTCAGTTCATTCTCAGCTTTTGCCCTCCTCAGGCCATCCCTGCATTTCCTTGCTACTTGTCTGTACTCATCCTTGGTGGCCTGGCCTTCTTTCCACTTCCTGTACATGTATTTTTTTTTGTTTTTAGGTTTTCCCTGAACTTTTTGTAAAGCCACACTGGTCTTTTTTGCTGCCTGACACCTTTTTTCTTATTGGAATTATCTGTAGTTGTGCCTTTAGAATTTATTTTTTTAGAAGCTCCCACTCTTCCTGGACTCCTTTTCCTGCCACGGGACCTTACTTATCCTTGTTCTGAGATTATTAATATTGGCTTTTCAAAAATCCAGCAGAAGTGTGTGGCTACACCCCGCTTTCGTTTCCTTTGAAATCAAGAATTCTAGGACGACATTCTAGGTCACTCTCACTTAGAGTTCCCCTTACTGTTACTTCCCCCACCAAGTCATCTCTGTTGGTTCGAATCACACTTCAATTAAACTTGCAGAAAGGAATCAGATGGTTTAATAATATGATTTAATAAAATGATAGAATAATATGGTCTAATAATATGAATACAGTACAGGAAAAATAGAGGGTCAGGAGGATGAGAAATAAAAAAATGGTCTAACCTTTGAGTTTTAAAACAGCCAGAAACATAAAGCTGATAACATGATGTAGAATCAGTGTGGGATCTGGCGGAGGGGGGGGAGGAATATCACCATCAAAGTATTATTGTGTCAAATAATAATAATTATGTGTCATGAAGTTGTTTCAAAATTATGACAGATCTCACAGGATTTTCTAGGCTCAAAGCACTATTCCAGTGTGGTACAGTGGTCAGAGTGACAGATTAGGGTTTAAAGAGACCTGGGTTCAAATCAGTCCTTAGCCATGGGAACTCATTGTGGGGGACAATACTAAAACATTCTTTATATATAGCACATACCTTGAAAACCCTACAATGGTCGCAATAAATCAGAAAGATGAGGTGTGACAGCATATCACAACAAGGTCCTCACAAGTGGTTTTTACCAGTTTCTCTCAGGTGGCACTCTGCGTCCATGAAGCTTGCCCAAGGCTACTCAGATGGAAAAAAGCACGCTGGGTGACCTTGGCTGATCCCTCTTCTTCTCTTGTAACCCTTCACCACTGGCCACTCTGGCTACAGCTGGTAGGGAAGTTAACAGCTGAACTTTATATGCAGGAACTACAGGTGCGTATGTTTATTGAAGTGACATAAACCCCTTTTCCAGCCAGAAGAAAGGGCGGATTTTCTCTGCTTCGAAGAGAGCCGAATCACAAGTGTGCAGAACATTTCCCTTATTATTATCAGCATTGAAGAACAACACCTTCCTTTTTTCATAGTCCAGGTAAATGCCAATTGTCTCTGGGGTGTCATATGTGAGTTTGCCAATTTTGTATTTGCTCAAGATCCAAATGCCCTCTTGTAGCGAGGAAATATTGATTCGTTCCTTCCTGTTCACGGATTCTCTGGCCACCCCCACAGCCCAGAATCCCAACGACTCAACCTTTACTTCCCAGTAATGCCGTCCCGAGGTGAACCCCTCACAGCCTAACACACAGCAAGAAGAACTAAATCTCTGGGGATAGTCAGGCAGATTGCAGGAAATCCATTCCAAAGTCAAGGTTTTCCGATCATCAGATACAGTGAGCTGGGGGTGCGCAGTGTCTGGATCCAGAGTCACTTTTACTGTTGAAGGAGGCGGGGAAAACAGAAGAGGAAGAGAGAAAGAAAGGAGAGCACGTATTAATAGGAATCGACTGGACTAAACATACTGAATTCAGTAACTTGCAATGAGATTAGGGCACTACAGCACAAATTCTGAAAGTGAAAGGGAAGGACAGCAAAGGAAGTTGTTCCATACAGAGAATTAGCTCCCACCCCCAATGGACCCCTTCCGTGAAATAGATAACATCAAAGGAAACACAGCTCTGATGTAGTCTGCTTCTGGTCAAAATGCCATCGAGAGCAAATGATGCCCAGGCAAGTTCAGGCACAAATGACCAAAAGCCAACAGTGGGTGGGACCCAATGGGGAAAGCTGCTTGTGTTTTGGACAGCTTGGGGCATAGTCCAGAGAGTTTTATTCCCAATGGTCACATGACCCACAGGCAATTGTGATCCAGCCCAACTCCAAATCCATGTCCAAGCTGGAGATTTTTAACCTCTTCTTGGGGGTGGGGTGGGCTGTCGTGATGCCCACATGGATGGAAAGGTCACTTTAAATGAAATGACTCCCTGAAAAGCATCCCTTTCTTGGTGGCAATTGGATATCCAGTGTCTGATCACTCCCCAAGTTATTTTAGCACATGAGTGTATGGGAAAGGGTATCAGGGGAACTTGCCTATCCCACCTCTAATTCTTGATTTATACTTTTATTTAATGTACACAGACATTTAATTCTACTGGTAGGAATAGAATTAGGTTAGTCACTAATATCTTGCTGCCCATTCATGTCATTCAGTGTCTTCTGCCTCAGTGGCTATGAGTATGGCCATCCCACAGAAAAGCCACAGAAAAGTATGAATTAATATATCTTTTCCCTTGGCAAAGAGTAGCCTTGTGCATGCAGATTTTTCCTGTCGTGGCAAATAGCAGTCTTTTGGGAAGGGGAACAATATCATCAGCTTTAAGCATATGAAAAAGTAACATATCTGCATTTTTAGAGGTACATAAAACTCCCCCAGTCTTTCCTGAAGTCTTACCCCACTCCACTTTCAACTGTTGTGATAAATGTTCTATAGGAAAAAAGAAGAAAAAGAGAAGTGAGATGGCATTGATGATATTCTTGAGTACACATTCATAGAAATGTCACAAATCCCAGCTGTCCTCAGTTTATAAACAAATGTAGCACTGTGAGAATTTACGGTAGCTATCCAGCTTAAGTAGGCAAAATTAGATGTAATCTGACATATACACGCTGATTTATATTTGCTGATAGCTGACATCTGAGGAGTTGGCAGAGAATGTTAACTCCCCAAAGAATATTTACTGATGCAAACTCAGATTACAGTAAATTCCAAAGAATTCTATGGGACCGACTTTGAGGGAACAGGTCATAGCTTTTGTACCTTTGTCATTTTTATTTCCCCACCTGGAAATTGAAATTCTGTTGCTTAGTGCAATAATGGTGTGATCAGAGGGTCACGGTTTACTCTTTTCTCTGGCAATCACATAATGTAATTGCTAAAGCAAACCAGGCTATCCCCTGAGTATTCCTACCTGCACCTTTCTCAGTCCCTCTCAGGGGCTTCTTTCCTTTGATGCAGGAAAGATTGCTCCATTTTCATTCATTTCCCTTGGAAAAAACCTTGATGTTAGGAAGGTGTGATGGCAAGAGGAGAAGGGGACGACCGAGGATGAGATGGCTGGACAGTGTCCGCGAAGCAACCAACATGAACCTGACACAACTCCGGGAGGCAGTAGAAGACAGGAGGGCCTGGCGTGCTCTGGTCCATGGGGTCACGAAGAGTCGGACACGACTAAACGACTAAACACACAGGGGCTTCTACTTCTTGATGCAGGAAAGATTGCTCCATTTTCATTCATTTCCAGCATGTGTGATGACAAGAAATGAACCAAAGCAAGCCTTCTTCTTTGATGGTTGTTGTGGGTTTTTTGGGCTCTTTGGCCGTGTTCTGAAGGTGGTTCTTCTTAACGTTTCACCAGTCTCTGTGGCCAGCATCTTCGCGAATACTTCTTCTTTGAGTTTCCTATTAAACTGTGGGCCGGTTCTTCTTTGAGTTTCCTATTAAACTGTGGGCTGGTTCTCAATACAGTATTAGAAACTGACAGAAGAAGGAGCCAGACCGAATGAAGTTGTCTGAGGTGCATATGCTACTTAGATGTGAGGATTGTACCAAATGGCATATTAAACCGGTGACCGATCCTATTTCGCCTACTCCAGACAACTCCCAAGTTACAGGTCCCAACCACAGTCCCATTTGTGTAACTCACAGAGATGTTGACTCACCAAATTTCCACTGATTCAATGGATCTGCTCTTGCGCAACTTAGGACACCAAGCAACAGGATTTCAGCCAATAGCAATGGGGATAAAATTAGACTACCTTTTCTTACTGATTTCAAAAGGACGCAAGTGCATTCCAGCTAGCTTGGATCTGATCCAGTATGATTTCATATTTATTGAATTGTTTTATATATCTTAGCTAGGTACCTTTGAAACTCCGCAAAGTCTCCTGCAGGATAATGTTCTTTTTGGAGAAGCTGTTAACTTTATCTTCCAACTCAGAAAAAATACTTGGCTGTTGAATATGCCACACTTTGTACCTAAGGAGACAAAGAATCTTTCAATTTCAGGATCAAATCAGCTGGCAATAAAATGAACATGTCAATGTGCGTTTAGTAAGATTGGAAAGCCAGGTTTATTGATGTTTGTTTGATTCATGTACTGTCCTACCTCATAGAGGGTAGCTTACAAAAATCTGCATAAAAATACACTTGGAATCACAAGTCCCACATATCTAATAAAACGCTGCAAATACCATAATAAAATACAAACAAGTGGCCAAAGAAATAGAATAACTGCTTGTCTTATGAAAGCTTGTGAAAAACTGTACCTTAGTGTTTGTGTTAAGAATGTGGTGGAACAAGTGAAACTCCGTAGATACACCATTTATTTATGTAAGCCGCCCCGAGTAGACATGGTCTAGAGGGGCGGGGTAAAAATCCAATAAATAAATAAATAAATAACCAGGAAAAAGCCCTGCCACATGTAATAGGTCCATGAGCCACCCTACTCTGGCTCACTGCAAGCTGAGCCCTCCTGGGTCATCTTAAGTCTTAGATATGTTAATATTGGAAAATTCACCGGAGCTCTGAGCTATTATGGACTTTTTACATTTTGATCCTGGTGATTCACTGGTGGATCTGATCTGACCAGCTAAAATATTGTGGGCTCTGAATGACATGTTTTGGGTCCTGGAACCATGCTTTCTCAAATTTTCGTTCTCAACCTTTGCTGGGGGTTCTGGAAGTTGAACTAAATGTCAGAACCCTACGCCAGTATGGTCAATGAGCTGGGCTTTAGGGAGCTGCTGTCCAGCCATTCTCAACAGGGGCTCATGCAAGTAGATAAATAGGTACCAACATGGTGGGAAGGTTCCGTGTCTAGTCGCGCTGGCCACGTGACCACGGAAGATAGTCTTCAGACAAAACACGTGGCTCAATGGGTTGGAAACGGAGATAAGCACTGCCCCCTAGAGTCGGACACGACTGGACAAATTGTCAAGGGGAACCTTTACCTTTACCTTACAGACTGGAAAATATGAAAAGTCTATTAGCACAATATAGGACATGCCATATCCTTGCTTGACAGGGGGCCCTGAGACTAGAGAACAGGTCCTAAAAGGGGTTTGTGGCAAAAATAAAGCAGCTATGTCCAAGCCAGCTGGAGGACCAACATTTGAGCATGTGAATGATTTAAGAAAACTGGCTACAGTTAAATGTGCCAGTCTATATTGTGGTGTTTTTTGCTGAAGGGCCAGGCCGTTTTTCAAAGAGGCTGTGCCAAAATATAAAGGGGTGTGGCCAAACAGGAAACAATACTACCTATGTATGCATGCACACATAGACATATGGACAATATCATGCATATACAAAAAGAGATTTTCCAGCTTTCCTCATTCTGCAGGCAATATCCACAAGTAATGTGGGAAGTCCTATTCAGAAAGATTCCCACCATCTGTGGAAGCCAACTGGAAATTGTAGCAGAGGGAGGTGAGGTTAGCATGCTTTCTTTCCTCACACAATTAGACCACATGGATTCTGAACGACACAGCTAGAAAAAGACAGACAAAAGCATGCAATCCAGAGCTTGGAAAGGGTAGTGTTTCCTGAGGATGATTCTGAGAATCCCCCAACCAGAATGGCTGCTGAAGTATTCCAGAAAAATCATTTCTATAGGCAAGGATACGAGCCTTCTTTCTGCCTCCTCCCTTTCTTCCTGTGTCTAGCAGAAGTGAAGTAAATCATTAAAGTGCTAAATTCTGCTAATCTGTAAGCAAAAAAAGTGACTTACCTTTGCAAGGTTTTCTCAATATCCTACAAAGAGAGAGAGAGAGAGAGAGGAGAGAAATGGGAAGTTATATCTGGGAGGTTTGTCTAAAAATCTAGTTGTTACCCCATCCCAATTAGTACACACAAGCCCTCTTAGTCAGGAATGTACCAGGGATGTTGGCAAGTCTTTGGATCTGAGTCCCAGGTCCCGGTCTGAACCTTCAGGGCTAAGTCCCAAGTCCGAATCTGCAGGCACAAGTCCCAAGGCCTTTTGCTCAGCCTCCTGGGTGGCCACATGCATGGAAATGGTGAGCTGATTTCCCTTCCTGGAGCTGGCCCCTGCCTCTGCACGTGCACTGGTGTATCACCTGGGCGGCAGGTGCATTGGTGGAGGCAGCAGCCAGCTCCTGGAAGAGAAGCCGGACCAGCTGTCTCCAAGGCAGCATCAGGTTGGGAGGTTTGTCCCTAATAGGGACTTGAAACGCGACTCAGAAAAATGGGTCCCAAAACCCGCTGAGTCGAGTCTGGAACAAGTCCCCAGTGCAACTTAGGTCAGACTTGACAGTGAGTTGAAACTCGTGAGACCCCATCCCTGGTCCTTACTATCTCTTGAGCACGATAGGGCAGAGGGCATCTCCCTTGCCAGCTTGTGCAAATGGGGGTGAGGCAGAGGGTTGTAGAGAAGAAGGTATTTTTTTCACCTTTCATTTTCAAACTCTCAAGCAGACTCTGAGATCTCACCTGCACGAATGTACTTGGTGGCTGCCGATTCTTCTCTTCCATCTCTTGGATTAGAGTATCACAAAGACAGATGTCACCAGAAAGTTTGGTGACAAACGCCTCCTCTCTCTCAACAAGCTCTTCCAGCTGGTCCAGCAATGCTGTCTTTTCTTGTTTCAGATGCACTTCTGCTTCTTCAAATATGGACACAATCTTCTGTTTCTCAGTATTTACCTTTTCCTGTATGTTAGACAAAAACACAAGTAAGAAACATGATTATGTGTGCAGAGGCACTACAGTGGTGCCTCGCATAACGAGCACACCGTTTAATGATGAATCTACATACCGATGCGGATTTTGCGATCGCTAATGCGATCGCATACCGATGTTTCTTCGCATTGCGAGGGGGAACAGCTGTTCGGCGGTTCCAAAATGGCCACCAGAACACCCAAAATGGCAGCCGGAACACCCAAAATGGCAGCCGGAACACCCAAAACGGCCGCCGGAACACCCAAAATGGCCACTGGAACATGGGGAAACATTGCAGAACGGTGAGTTTGGGGCCCATTTGGAACGCATTAAACAATGTTTAATGTGTTCCAAAACACCCAAAATGGCCACCGGAACACCCAAAATGGCCACTGGAACATGGGGAAACATTGCAGAACGGTGAGTTTGGGGCCCATTTGGAACGCATTAAACAATGTTTAATGTGTTCCAATGGGTTTTTTTGATCCGTATAGCGATGTTTCCCCATAGCGAAGGTTAATCCGGAACAGATTGACCTCGCTATGCGGGGCACCACTGTATCATGCTTTTTTCAGCAAAGATCAGTAGGAATACAGTGGTGCCCCACATAGTGACGATAATCTGTTCCGGAAAATCGTCGCTATGTGGAATTGTCGCTATACGAAACAAAAAAGCCCATAGGAATGCATTAAATGTGTTCCTATGGGCAAAAAACTCACAGTTCAGCGAAAGTCCTCCATACGGCCGCCATTTTCGCTGCCCAGTAAGCGAGGAAAGGGCGAGAAAACACAGCGGGCGGCCATATTTTTTTACCCGGCGGCCATTTTGGAACCGCCGATCAGCTGTTAGAAAAAAATCGCTATGCGAAAATCGGTAAACGAAACAGCCTACCGATCACCGCAAAGCGATTTTTCACTATCTAAAACATCGCAAAATCTTCTTTGCTATGCGGATTCGTCATTAAAAGGGGCGCCTTTTATGCAGGGCACCACTGTATATAGAACCTGAAATAATTAAGATCTGGGATCACAGATCCATAAAACCAAATCTCGAAATCAGTGGTTCCCAACCTTGGGTAAGCCAAGTGTTCTTGGATTGCATTTCTCAGAAGCTTTCACCACCAGATGTTTTAGTCAGGATTTCTGGGAGTTGTAGTCCAAGAACACTTGAGTTACCCAAGTTTGGGAACCACCTTGTGGCGCAGCGGTTAAACCGCTGTACTGCAGCCAAAACTGTGCTCACAGCATGGGGTTCGATCCCATATAGCCGGCTCAAGGTTGACTCAGCCTTCTATCCTGAGGTCGGTAAAATGAGTACCCAGCTTGCTGGGGGGGCAATGTGTAGCCTGTGTAATTAACTTGTAAACCGCCCAGAGAGTGCTTGAAGCACTATGGGACGGTATATAAGCAGCACACTTTGCAATGTCTCTGCACCCAATCCTGAATTCACAGAGGACCAGGAGCCTGAATCCCCAGAGGAAGGGAGCTCAGAGGCCACATCAGAGGAAGCTAGATGCCCTCCTGTCCCATGTGAATGCTGTAGGTTGAAGGCACGAATATGGACAGATCATAGAATCATGAAGGTGGAAGGGACCTTTAAGGCCATTGAGTCCAACCCTCTGCTCAATGCAGAAATACAAATTTAGGATATCAGTCAAATGGTTCTCCAAGTTTCTTTTGAATGACTCCAGTGTTGGAGCACTCACCACCTCTCAAGGCAATTGACTCCATTGCTGTACTGCTCTAACACAGAAAGGTTTTGCTGATATTCAACCAAAATCTGACTGCTCAGCTGCAAGAGAATAACTCCCTGGGATAAAAGGTTTCCTCGAGAGGAGGCTGCCTGAAGGGAAAGCTCTTCTGTCCATGGAGATCAGCAGGTCTCAGATGCCTGCAGCTCAGCTCAATGTGGGGTTCCTGCAACCCAGCTATATAAACCTTAGCTTGGGACTGTGTTTCTTCTGGAGAATACTTTTTCTGAGTCCAACTTCTACAATTTGCCAGTTGTTATTCTAGAAATTGTAATTCAAAAAAAGTAACTTTTCTGAGCTCTGGCTTGGTCCTACTGTCCTTCTTTGGAGTCAAGCTCAAGTAAAACAGGTGAGGCTCATTGCAGGGAGCACTAAGCAGTACATCATCAGTTCAAGTATGAGAAATGTTGCCTCGCTTTTTTTGGATGGCAATGGCCAGAATTCTCTAGTCAGTATGGCTAGTATGACTCCAGCACTGGAGTCTGAAAAAACACTGTACCCCAACCCTGCTTATCTAGTCCTGTTGTTCTGAACCAGCTTTATCCACCCAGGCACACTGCAGATCGGAGCACTAAGCAGTACATCATCAGTTCAAGTATGAGAAATGTTGCCTCGCTTTTTTTGGATGGCAATGGCCAGAATTCTCTAGTCAGTATGGCTAGTATGACTCCAGCACTGGAGTCTGAAAAAACACTGTACCCCAACCCTGCTTATCTAGTCCTGTTGTTCTGAACCAGCTTTATGCACCCAGGCACACTGCAGATACAGTGGTGCCTTGCTAGACAATTACCCCACATGACAGTTTTTTCGCTAGACATTGGCTTTTTGCAATCACTACAGCGATTCACAAAAAGTGATTCCTATGCGGAAATTTGGCTGGACAATGTTTGGTCCTGCTTCGCAAACCAATTTTTGCTAGACGACGATTTTGACAGCTCTCTCTGCGCTCGCAAACAGGTGTTTTCAGGACCTAAGCTTCACAAGAGAGCAATTTAAACAGCTGATCGGCGGTTCGCAAAGCAGCTTTCCTATGGCCGATCTTCACTAGAGAACTAAGATTCTTCCCCACTGGAACGCATTAAACACGTTTCAATGCATTCCAATGGGGAAATGCTTTTCACTAGACAATGATTTCGCTAAACAGCAATTTCAGTGAAACAGATTATCAGAGTCTAGCGAGGCACCACTGTATAATGAACTGCATCTCCCAGTGGCAACCACCATGTTGGCTAGGACTGAGGAAGAGTTCAACAGATCTGGAGGACAACAGAATGGGAAAGGCTGTCATACAGAGAAGACTCACCTACCCAACAATACAAAACATTGTCTCACATTTGAAACATTACACTAGCTAGCACCCACTCACCTGCAATTTCTTATATCTATTCTCCTCCTCTGTGTGAAAGCCAATAGCCTCCTCCCTCTTTTCTTTCCAAGCCTTCAGAAGGGAATCCAGCTCCTCCTGAAAGAAGCAAAAATACGGTGGTGACACAGAACATCATGTCTGCAACAGGTGGCCTCACCTGATTGTGGCACCCCTTGGAAGCAAAAGATGGCCAACTGGGGAAGACCAGTTTCCTCTACATGAAGCTGGAGAGTGTGCCTTTGTAAATGGGATGGATATCGGGCAGTAAAAGCAGGTTCCCCATCACTGCATCCATGTTGTGTGTCCTGTTGTGCGTCAATAGTTGTTTAAGATGAGTTTGGCAGGTCTCATGAGCATGTCTAAATTGGAATTAAATTACTGATTATGCATGTGAACGGTTTCATTTCAGAGCTGCACGTGATCACCAACAGTGTTCTCCCATTTTCTCTTCTGGTCTCTTTCACAGTCTTTTCTTTTCCCCTGGGTACCTGGCTTGCTCGTCAATTTGACGACTTTAACCCCCCCCCATTAATTAGGTGGGTGTTGTAGTATACAAAATGCCTGCTACAAACCTACGAGTCCTGAGTCTCTATGGTCTGAATCCAATGCAATTATATCAGGGGGGTTTATTTTTTTACGTGTTCAGGATGGAAGCTGGAAACTCTGTGAACGTACAATCTGTGTATGTAGAAATGATTAATTGATTTTAAATCATTTAAAATGATAAATGATTTTAAAATCAAACTGATTTAATTCAGTTTAAATTTTTAAAAATCAATGTTTTAATTTAATGTCAAAAAAATTGAAAAAATATTAAATCATGATTTGATTGAAATCAAATTCACCCTTTAGCAATAATCAATGGATTCTCGATATAATACAATCTTTTTACTGTATCTTCATTGTATAGCGGCACACTGCCGTTCAAGAAGTGCACCTGTTGTGTGGACTGGCTTGGGCTAAGGTTAAGGGTTGGGTGGAAGTTGTGAAGTTCACCTACTGTGGCTTTTCCTATTGTTGGGTTGGGATAATCCGTATTGCAAAGTGTGCCATCTTAGTATAATATCACCACCTATCTAAAAGAGAGGGCTATTACATGTTATAATATCATAATATAATATTATCTTATCCACTGACTGTGGAGTTTTCTCAGCAGCTTTTGGAGAGGGACTGTGTAAAACCCCTTCTGAAAATCCAGATAGACAATATCCACCGGTTCGCCCACATCCACCTGCCTGTTGACCTTTTCAAAGAATTCTAAAAGGTTTGTAAGGCAAGACTTACCCTTACAGAAGCCATGCTGATTTTCCCTCAGCAAGGCTTGTTCTTCTACATGTTTTAAGATTTTATCTTGGATGAGGCTTTCCACCATCTTCTCTGGAACAGATGTTAGGCTAACCGGCCTGTAGTTTCCCAGGTCCCCCCTCCTTCCCTTTTTAAAGATTGGCATGCCATGTGGTATCCTCCAGTCTTCTGGCAATGTGGCCATTTTAAGGTGCAAGTTGTATATTTCAGTTAAGAGATCAGCAACTTCATTCCTCAGTTCCTTAATAACCCTTGGGTGACTGCCATCTGGGTCCGATGACTTATTAGGTCTGAAATATCCTCTCTTTTAACCTATATCTGATTTAATTCATTAGTCAGGAGGGGCCATTCAGGTCTTCTGTCATGAAGACCGATGCAAAGAACTCATGTAATTTCTCTGCAATCTCCAAGTCCCCCTTTCCCTCCCTCACCATCCAGAGGGCCAGCTACTTCTCTGGCATGTTTCCTACTTCTAAGGTATTTAAATAAGCTTTTATTATTCCCCTTTATATTCCTGGTCATACGTTGCTCAAAGTCCTTCTTTGCCTTCTGTATTATCTTCATTTACTCTGCTGATATCTGGTTGCATTTATGTGGTGGTTTCCTCTATGTTTACATGTCACACTACAGTCATTCTGTTTGGGCAAAGTACTCAGTGGCACAGTCAGGATTCAGTCACTCTGTGGCTGGTCCCTTAGGAACAAAGTGGATGCTGACTTAGGCTACTTCCCAACCAGTCCAATCCTGCCTAACTCCTTAACCACAGATGGAGGCTCAAGGGCCTGCCTTTGTTCCCTTCCTGGTGAACTCCCAGCCTCATCACAGTATGTGAACAGTGGAGGGAGGGGAGGAAAGAACAGCAAGAGGTAAGAACATTTCTAATTTGGGAGGGAGGCATATTTTCCTGATCCTCAGCTGAATTGAGAAGGGCAAGAGAGGGACATGGAACGGAGGCTATACATGAGTGTGAGAATTAACTTATGTTCTTGGTTCTGCCTATACAGTAATCCCTACCTTTGCCCACCACTGGCTGCCGTGCCATCTTCTCCAACAACCACAATGAACACTATCGGTCACTGTCTTGTTTTCAACTATCTGTAAGCCACTCTGGAGCCAGCTGAGTAGCTGGAACACTCAGCGTTCTATTGCCCACCAGGCCTCCTAGAAACCTATGTAGCCTTGGGTAAGCTGCACGGTCCGAGGATGCCCTAGGACGTAGTGACTCATAAACCACTTCTCAATACTAGACCTTGAAGAAGGTCACCAGAAATCAGAATTGATTTGATGGCATGCAAATTCAAACAAGAACAATGCTCTGACAGCTGGGCTATAAACATTTCAGTATTCAAAAGCACTGGGTTACAAGCCTCCAAAGGCTTATTAACTACTACTCAGTCACATGTTTTTCTGCTAGCAGAAAGCAGCTAATACCGAGCCTGTGGCTAGTGAACAGAAGTCATCATCACTTTGGAAACTCATAACTGAAGCAAAATGGAAGAACCTGGTTGTTGCTTCAGGAGCTCCATTCAGAAGCAGTGCAGAACAACAAGACCTAAACCTGGTTACAGAACCCCCTAAAGCTGGCTTCTATGAGAGTAGGTCTGTTAAGACCCGAAAAAGCCATGGTAGCCTTTCCTTGCCTAGGCAAGAGAAAGGAGAAAGTGGTGCCAAGCAGAAGAAATAAACCTGAGAGAAGCAACAGAAGTACAGTTGTAGGGAAGACATGTGTGTGTGTTTAGTCGTTTAGTCGTGTCCGACTCTTCGTGACCCCATGGACCAGAGCACGCCAGGCCCCAGGGCATATCCCCAGGGCATATCCCCTTTTCCACTACTTTAGTTCACTTGATCTATGGACTGGTGAGGCAGAATTAGAGGGTGTTTAAACACTCCATATCTGCGCTCCCATCTTCTATCCTACTGCACAATAAGAGGAAAGTGGCTGTACTGTACCTATTGTACAAGTACCGGTATTTAACAATGCCGGCAGCTGCCGGCAGCATCCAGAGCCCTACGCCCAGATGCTGGACACCGCGGTCCGCAGGAACTAAGGGATTGCAAAACTGCACGGTGGCATGTTAGCAACATTTGCACGCATAGGGCACACCAGCGGCACACGGCGTCTGAGGACATTAAAATCGTAACTAGATTTAGGGAAGAGTCTCTCCCCACCCCCCAATACCTCTGAGTCTCCCTTGGCAATTATTATTATTTTTACCTTGTAACTCTGGGCAGCTTCCTCAAGAGGCACCAGGAGAGCTTCGCTTGGGACCTCCTCAGATTCCACACACCGGGAGCACACCAGCTCCTGTTTGCCTTTGTAAAAGAACTGGAGCGGCTGCTGGTGCGTTTCGCACGTTTTCTTCTCTCCAGGCGTGTTTTCTGCCATCTCCAGCTTCGTCCTCTTGACGGTTTCTACAATATTCGCCAGTTCTTTGTTTGGCCTCAGCTTTCGCTTCAGCGACGCTTCTCCACAGCGAGGGCAGGAGAAATTGCTTCCCCATTTCTCCCAATGCTGGGTGATACAGCCCTGGCAGAAACTGTGCCCACAGTCCACACTCACCGGCTCCGTGTAATAATCTCGGCAGATATAACAGGAGACTTGATCTTCCAGCAGTCTGACAGAGCCGCTTGCCGCCATGGCTCCGGTGCAAGAGGCAGGCAGTTAAGTTTCGCTTTCCTGGACTCAGGCGTCTGTGTCAGAGACCAGAAAGTGGCGGTTCCTGGAAGCTGCAGCTGCCTTCCATGTGCGAGAGAAGAAATGAAACTCACTCTGCTCAGCCCCTTTCTTTCATTGCTCCAACTTCGAATGGTGTCTTTTTCATATTATCGCAGACAGCCGGCTTGCGTTCTTTGAAGGAGAAAGGCAGGGTAAAAATATTACTGTACAAGTAAATACATCTGTAATTTATTATTTGAGACCTCTGCCATTCTCTGTCCTAAGCTCTCATGAGGAACCGTAGGGTATAATCTGAAGCAATAATAATACTTTAGCCTGGGGTATGCCAGATATAAAATAGTTTTCATATGTACTAATAAAGCATTACGGACATTTTCTTTTATTGGTTTGTATTTTATAGGCATTGTTTATTTATAATCAGTAAGAATTGCATGTCATTAAGTCAGTTGTGACCTAGGGAGACCCTGTCCAGCGTTTTCCATATACAGAATACACAGTAATGGTTTATCATTCTCTTCTTGTGGGACTGCCTTGGGACTGTGCAACTTGCCCATGATTACACAGGCTGGCTTTTCTCCCAGGAGGCAAATCAAACTCCCAACCATATCCGAACCACTGAGCTATCCAACCAGCTATTTTTTATCACAGAAGGTAAATTAAAGAGAAGATGGAAACAGTACACAGAAGAGATAAAAGGATGATAAGACTCGTTTGAAGAAGAATCCTATGATGAACAGCCTACAGTTCTATAAAGTGAAGTGAAAGCAGCTCTGAAATCACTAGGGGGAGATGAAATAGAATTATTCTTGAGTGAGCAAGGCACAGTTGACTTAAAAGCTTATTTTCCAAGCATGTCACTGTTTCAGGAGATTTTCCTGCTGCCCTAACTCCTCTTGAGAGGGTGGAGAGGATCAAATTTTGCAAAGATAATCAGAAAATCTGGATTTGTTGTTTAGTTGTTGTGTCCGACTCTTTGTGACCCTATGGACCAGAGCACACCAAGCCCTCCCTGTCTTCCACTGCCTCCCGGAGTCTGGTCAAATTCATGTTGGTCACTTCAATGACCCTGTCCAACCACCTCGTCCTCTGTCGTCCCCTTCTCCTCTTGCCCTCACACTTTCCCAACATCAGAGTCTTTTCCAAGGAATCTTCTCTTCTCATGAGATGGCCAAAGTATTGGAGCCTCAGCTTCAGGATCTGTCCTTCCAGTGAGCACTCAGGCTTGACTTCCTGCAGAATTGATAGGTTTGTTCTCCTTGCAGCCCAGGGGACTCTCAAGAGTCTCCTCCAGCACCACAATTCAAAAACATCAAGTCTTCAGCAGTCAGCCTTCTTTATGGTCCAGCTCTCACTTCCATACATTGCTACTGGAAAAACCATAGCTTTGATTATGCGGACCTTTGTCGGCAAGGTGATGTCTCTGCTTTTTAAGATGCTGTCTATGTTTGTCATCACTTTCCTCCCAAAAAGCATGCATCTTTTTAATTTCGTGGCTGCTGTCACCATGGAGCCCAAGAAAGTAAAATCTCTCACTGCCTCCATATCTTCCTCTTCTATCTGCCAAAGAGATGATGGGACCAGTGGCCATGATCTTAGTTTTTTTGATGTTGAGCTTCAGACCATTTTTGGTGATCTCCTCTTTCACCTTCATTAAGAGGTTCTTTAATTCCTCCTCACTTTCTGCCATCAGAGTGGTATCATCTGCATATCGAAGCTGGACCTCCTTTATGTGGACCATGAAAACACACAAAGAGTCTATTAGTTGTTCTGAAACTCTTGGTTATGTCTAGATAAAATGCTAGTGAGTGCCTAATGTAGATAGCGTGGAGCATGTGCTCAAGAGGAAATAATGGTGATTTGAAGAATGATGGTAATGTGATAGGTTGATTGATATGAAAATCTGACATAAATTTAGGTAAAAGAGAAATATCAAAGTATAAAGTCACTTTATCAGGGTGAAACTGAATAAAGGGTGGATAAGCTCAGTGGGCAGCAAGCTCACTGGCTCTCTTGGCAGATGTAATAGCCACAAGGAATGCTGTCTTGAGAGTAAGCAATTTCAAAGTTGAGGATTACATGGTGGATGCATCAGAATATTCAGGAGTATTTGAAGAGACCATTGGGGAACAATCTCTTAATGAGGGTGAAAGAGGACAGTTTCATTTCTTCTTCAGTTTTGTAACGTA